TTGACGATTTTTCGTGAAACTTAAAAACCTGCGTCGAATGCGATCAACCGCGTGAAAATCGGTTCATTTATTCAAAAGTTATTTCGATTAAAAAATTAAAAAAATAGTGTTTTATCAAATTTCTATCAAACTTTTGAGCTCAAAGAGCTCAAAAGCATACAAGGGCTATTATTTGAGCTCGGAGAGCTCAAGATAATACAAAAGCTATTTTTGGAGCTCGGAGAGCTCAAAATAATACACAAATTGTATTTATGAGCTCGAAGAGCTCAAAAACGTCATAAGTGCCATTTCAAGCGTTTAGGAATAGAATTGGCGGGAAATTGCAGGGATGGCCTTCAGGGTCAACTATTTTCCTAATTTTTCTTTTATTTTTCAATTTTCTTTGTTTTTAAAATAATTAATTTCCTCGATGATTAACATATTCAACTTTTGGTTCTATACTTTTTTCTTGATTTTTGAGGATTCCCGGAAATTTTTGGACCAGTGTTATGAAAAATAAGACTAAGAAAAAGTTTAAATCAAAAAAACACCAGTCTGAAAATTTCACGATATTTCTAGAAAATGTAGAAAAGTTTCATATGAAAGAAAGAAAATAGAAATTAAAAATGGTTATCATCCAGAAATTCGGAGTTTTTTCGGAAAATCTAAAAAATAACGATAAAGATATGTTTGAATATTTTTTTTCCATTTTTTTCCAAAAAGAACATTTAATAAAAAAAATTTTGAAAAAAAAAACGTACCGATAAGTTAATTTATGAAAAAGTTATGGCAATTTAAATATAAATAAGTGGTTTTCTTGAAAAATTCATAACTTTTCTTTGGTTGGGTCAAAAAATTATGAGACGTTTTTGAAAGAGTAGAAATGAATGGAAAACTTTCAGCTAAATCAAAAGGAGTCAGCGTCAAAAGTGGTCGATTTTGAGTAGAATGCCCTATTTATATAATATAGCATAAAGAACTAAATAGATTGCGGGTCCAATTGCTTACTGCTCTCAAAAAACTAACACGTTCATGTACTTCAGTAAATAGTTTGTGTGAACTTTTCAAGTATAAAATACAGGCAAATACTATAGAAATGAATGATATTTCTAAAACTACGAACTTCTGGGGTCCCTCAGACAGATCATTGCCAACTCTTTTCTCAAAATAGAACTACTTTCAAACGTTTTGGTCAGTACAGTATCGTCGGAGAACAATAACTGTTAGACCAAAAAATGTTAGACTTTTTGATCATTTAAAAAGTTCAAATAGTACTTTCTAAAAAGTAGATAACAATATAGAATAAATCTAACCTTGGTTATTGTCGTTATTTTCCCTGACTTCAATTAGTTGAGCTGCGGAACATAGAGGCGTGTCAACTTCATATGTATTGTTAAAAAGCATGTAATCAACTTCATATTCTCCAGTTTCTTTTCTGAATGATATCATATGTTCAAATCGATGACCCCATAAAATTTCAGATGGAAGATACGAACTTCTTGCTTGTGTTGTCATACCAGTAGATTCGATCACCCCTTTTAGTAGGAATGATAAGTTTTCAAATCAATATGAATCATCAGAAAGTTCTAATAGTACGAACCTTCCAGCATAACTATGATTTCAAATCGTTCTCTCAGCATATCACTTGCCGAGAGATAATACAGTGGTGAGAATTGATCAATTTTATGAATAATCGTTGTTGGCCAAATAAAAAAGATTTTGTCTTCTTCACCATCACCGCCAACTTTTAATTCAGTTTGAAAGAAAGGAAGTGATTCCCCTTCTCTAGTAACCTGAAATATAGTGGAAAAAAAAATTAAATATTTACATTTGTCTCATAACTTAATTTTACGAAGAATACCGCCGACGTGTTATGGAGGTCATACTTTTTTTTTAATCATTTGAGCACGAATATGAGCTTCAATAATATGACTTTTTCTCATATCTCCTACTCGGAACATTAAGCATGGTAATCCATCTCTTTGACAAATAACTGCGTTTCGAGAAAATAGGAGAGTTTGTGTCCTTTTTTTCGGCCGAGATAGTTTTGCAAATACAATCCCTACCATGAATGCTTGAAGGATAACTCCGGTCATGGATTGGATACACATCACAAAAATAGCTTCTGGGCATTCTTCTGTAGTATGCTTCGAGCCATACCTAACATGAAAATGAATAAAAATTACAAGTTTTAGTAATAAATTTACTTATGTGTTAATTTAACGAAAATAATTATTAACCCGATAGTATGCTGAGTTTCAACGGAAAAAAGGAAACAGCTAGTGAAGCTATGAATATCTTCAACACAGGGTGTCAATGTTTTATTAGCTGTAGAAAAGTCATCATTGTTGAAATCACCATGGCTGTATACTATTAACCACCAAACGATAGCAAAACCAAGCCAAGATAGTAAAAAATTCATGGAAAATACGAGCAAAGTCCAGCGCCACTGAGCATCTACTAATGTCGTGAAAATATCCTGCAACAGGAATCGTATTACTTACAAATAGTATAATAGGGGGATTCCACGCCAAATCGGACGGTTTTAAAAATTCAAATTTTAGATATTTTCAATTTTTTGGTATTTTTTGGTATCCTCCAAAAGAGGCCTCCTGATAAATTTTGAAATTTTTTTGATCACTGGTTCAAAAAATATCGAATTTTCAAAAAAATCGCTCTTTTTTTTGTTTTTTGCTCGTAACTTTTTCAATAATGGTCGAAATTCAAAATTTTTGTTTTCAAACACCCCAGGGCACTGGGCTACCTATTGTTCAGATTTAGATTCAGTAAATTGAAATACACAAGAATTATACTTGATCCGGGACCACAAGAATTTTTTCAACGCTGTGACGGCAGTTTTTATGCAATTTTTTGGGGTTTTTTGCATTATGCTCAAAATTGCTGGGTGACCGGGTCAAACGGACTTGAAATTTGGATTCAGTGGGTCAATATTCATTTCAATAGGTAGGTCCGGTCCAAAGTACATAAAAAAAATATTCAAATTATTTTTCATTAAGATTTTTTTAATCGTGTTTTCCAAATTGTGTGCATCCATCGATTTTTTTGAAAATTTCATATTTTGAACTCCTATCCTTTCTTCAACTTTTAAACCCGATCCGGTAATGGTGGTTACATAATAACTATTTTTTTTTATTTTTAAAAATTAAAAAAAATTTTTTTTTCCATTTTATTGAATTATATGATTTATTTTTCTTTTTTAATGTATTTTGAAACAATTTATAATTTTTTATTATTATAACAAGCGTAGGAAAGTCTTAACTACTGATTAAAAATTAATTTAAAAAAACAAAAAATAAGTCTTAATTTATTTTCTTGATTTATTAAAAATTTTACATGTGCGATCATGAATAGCACTTGAATAGTCTTTAACATGCATGGTTCCATTATCATTTGGAAGAATATTATGCAATTTTTTGGTTCCGATGATTGACTTTGCGTTATTGTATCTCTCATCTAGCTTTATTTTTGCTTCTGCGTAATCTGATTCAGGTGAAAACTTTACAGTCATATTTGGTAGACTATTAGGTTCAGATGCCTATTTATATCTCCATAGTTGTTGTTATTTGTTTATCAACCGGTTGTTGGAGACTTACTTTCACCGCTTTTCTCTCAAATGTTCCCCCAGCACCATCGCATGGCCCTTTACCGTGAGCTGTCGCGAAATAATGCCATCCAGCTTTCAAGCCAAAGTCTTCGTCGTGATAATAAATGTTCACAAAATTTTTAGAATTTTTGAATTGTTCTGGAGCACCGTCAGAAAAGTAAATAACTTTAGTTGCCTGGGGATTCAATTCTTTGATGAAATCGGTAACAATTTTCGAATACACATGGACAGCAATTACATCGTGATTCATGCTGTCAGAAATAATTATCAAACTTCGATGCTTGAGCTCACCATTCTGCTTGAAGTAAATGAACACAGAAAAAATAGTCGCTTGATTATTGTTCCAGTGGAATCCTGGCACTGCATCTTGTACTATAAATGCGTAATTCTCTGCAAAATCACAAACAGCTAAGAACTCTCCATCTTGCAATGATTCTTTCACCTGCTTCAGGAAAGCAGATTGCGATTTGGCAATAAAATCATGCGGTAAAAGATTATTTATATGCTCACAAAATATTTCAACAACTTCTGACGAGCTCTTGGTGAGTGTCTCAAGGCTACAACAGGGACTCGATATCCAATACTTATAATTAATTTCATCTATAGCTTTTTCATCAAATAGACTTTCCAATAGCTGCTGAAGGATGCCGATTCCTGGACATTTCTCACATTTTGAGAAGTAACAATCGGGTATCGGATCAGAACATAGAATTAACTTGAAGCAATCACTGGAGTGTACCAGCGGAACAGTCGTCTCACGAGTTAGCGTTGACAAGTTAGACCCTTTCATAGAATCAATTTATTAACTTTTACAGTTAAAAAAGATAACTCTCAAAATACTTACCCAACATTATAAGTTTCATATTTTGGTGAAAGGCACACACACAAACAGTATGCGTACCGCTACATCCTGCAAGCACACAGTTGACTGGTCTTAATAATGCAAAGCTAGAAAATCTTATATTGTCAACTGGATATTGTTCCTTGAAAGTGAGGTACAGTTCTCTCAAATTACAAAGTATGAGTTTTTTCTGGATTTGTTCTTTTTGACCATTATCATTGCGTACAGATACGAAATCTTTCATGCCAGGTAAGTTTTTAAGCGGTGACGCGACCGCTCATCCGCAGACAATTCATCCGCGACGATTAATCCGCGACACTTCATCCGTGGACGATTGATCCGCACGATAACAACCTTGTTAAAAGGGCGCAACACAATTACAAGCTTCTGTGTTGAACAACCTTGTTAAAACGTCACATCACAGATCAATTGTCGTGCGGATCTTCCGCCGTGCGGATCAATTATTGTGCGGATCAAACGTCCGCGGATGAAATGTCACGGATCAATCGTCGCGGATGAATTGTCTGCGGATGAAGTGTTACGTAACCCGTGAGCTTAAACGGTTACGTTTAAGCTCACGTCATCATTTTTATAGAATTCAATTACTTTAGATTTGATATTGTCTGATAAGGGACGTCCTAGAAGCAATACAAGTTATTGAGTCATAGAAAAAAGAACTGTACTTTACAAACAAAGATCTCTTTAAACGTACCTTTTTTTTGATCTGGCGCTGCAAGAACACCTTTATTTTCTTTTAATGATTTGGACATTACTGCCATGTGTTTTTTAGCACCCATAGTGTCACAAATTTTTTGAATGCTCCAATCAGTCAGCAATATAGTTAAAATTTGTAGTGAACGAGGTAGCAGCCGAAAACACATCTTCGCGTAGAGCGAAACAAACCACCCATTCCCCTTACGGCGTTGGTCGTCAGTTGCCTGACGCCAACTCACTTACGGCCCTCTCTCTCGCCAACATCAAAGCTTTCACTCTCGCCGCAATCAAAGCTGATTCTTGGGAGATCATGCTTAAAATCTTTGATAGCGTTGTGGCCAGCACTCTCTTATATGCCTCACACATATGGGAGCTTCGTTACCTTAATCATATTGAGATAACTCAGCTTTCTTTCTTCAAGCGTCTTCTTCTTCTCCCACTAGGCACGCCCAGTGCTGATCTTAGACTAGAACTAAGGATATGGAATGTAAAGGTTCAGGTTCTTAAGATGGCCCTGAGTTGTGTCTGTAAAGTTTTGAACATGCCCAGTCATAGACTACCCAAGATTTGCTTGCAGCAATTAATTAAGCTTGCCAAAAATAGAGACACTAACCTAAAATATAACTGGGTTTTACAACTTAAAGAAGTCCTGGACATTTTCAAGGCACCCACGACACTCTGGGATAACCTCTCCAGCTCATACTGGAGAAGGCATATCAACAGCATCCTCAGCTCCTACTCTGACCATCTTACAAGCGTGGATCTAGATAAAGTTAACTCTAGTCGTTCTTATCAAATTCACATACCCAGGTCACTCAACTCGGACACAGCAAATTACCTACGTAACTGCCCATTATACATTGCGAGAATAATCGCACGAGTCCGATTAGCTAACAACCACATGTTTAAACTCAGCTACAAGCGCTTTCATTTCATCTTTTACCCCAAACAGATCGGTACCATATGTAATCTAAATGTACCTAAAAACCTAAAACATGTAATCTTAGAATGTCCTATCTACCATTCCTACCGTGAGCATTATATCAATCCACACCTGTCCGAAGGTGATGATGATGAAGTTAAACTAACTAATTTGTATACTGACCTAGATCACACGAAGTCAAAAAACCTGTATCTATTTCTCACCAGAGTGCTATCCCTTTCTTTCCATAATGCTATAAAAATTTTTATTCATTAAGTAACGAGGAACCATAAATTTTATAGTTTTTTATAATTAATACCGGGCCATCCGTGCCAAGAAATTTTTGTATTTTAAAAAAAAATATTAATAATAATTTTGGTTGATTTTATATTATTTAAAATAAATAAAATTATTTTAATATATGGCAAAGGGGGCTAACAAGAGTCGAGTCTTAGCCCGCCTGCTTATAAATATCTGAGCCAGGTATTTATAATCCCTACCCCTCCATATTACTACCAGGTCATTTGTGAAGAAATTTTTCTTTACAAATCATCTATGATCCTTCCTTTTTATTCAATAAATAACCAGGAGCTATTAATTTTTTACTGTTTAAAAATCAATTCCGGGCCATCCGTGCCAAGAAATTAAAAGTATATTTTAATCAATCATTAATGAATATAATATAATCGATCTTTTAACGAATATAACTTACTTTTTTAATCATTTTATTAGTAGTGTCTGACCCGTATCGAGTATAAACTGTAACATAATTGACCATTTTTCTTTTAAGTACTGATATTGATCAGGTAGATTTAATATTTATTAAAAAAATAAAGAATTTGTTTAATATATGGTAAGGTGTGCCTAGGAAAGTCAAGCTTCAGCCTTCTTCCTTATAACAATGTGAGTCTCATATTTATTACCCCTTTCTTTCCATAGTTCTGTAAGGTCATAAAAGAAAAAGGTAAGCGATGATGAGTTGAATGTTATACTGAGTCCTTATGACAATCTGAACCAGATATATATTATTCCTATTCTATTATTTTACTACCAGGTCATAAGTAAAAAAGTTTTTCTTTATAAATCTTTCATGACCCCTCATTGTTATTCAATGAATAACCTGAAACTATTAATTGTTTTGTTATCAATTATAAATTCCTGGCCATCCGTGCCAAGAAATTTTTTGCAAATTTTGAAAAAATTGTAAATTTTTAAAATAAAATTGACCTTATATCGAATAGGTATTATATTTCCTTATTTCGTAAATATATAGCAAGGTGAGCTAAGGAGAGTCGAGTTTCATCCTGACTCCTTATGACAATCTCAGTCTGGTATTTATTCTCTCTATCTTTCCGTAGTACTACCAGGTCATTCGTGAAAAGATTTTTCTTCATTATTCTCCGATGACTCTCCAATTCTATTTATTAATTAACCAGTATTTATTAATTTCTTTGTTTTAAATAATTATTCCGGGCGATCCGTGCGTAGAAATAATCCATGAATTTTGAATAATTAACCATTTTTTCATTAAAATTGACCTTTAATGAGATAAGTATTATACACTTTTTCATTTTTAATAGTAACGCACCATTCATTTCAAAGTTAATCTTAAATATTAATCATAATTATTATTTCAAATTATAATTCTGTTTCAGTTAATTATATATTATTTAAAATTAAAAGAATTATTTTATTATATGATAAGGTGGGCTAAGGAGAGTCAGGCTTCAGCGTCATTCCTTATAACAATCTGAGTCAGTTATTAGTCATCCCTTTCTTTCCATAGTTCTACCAGATCATTTGTAAAAAATTTTTTCTTTAGAAATCATCTATGACCATTTTTATTCATTAAGTAACAAGGAACCATAAATTTTTTAATTTTTAATAATTAATTCCGAGCCATCCGTGCCAAGAAGTTTTTTTAAAAAATTATTAATATTCACAATGAAATAGACCTTTTACCGGATAGGTATTACATTTTCTTATTTTAAGTAGTAATACACCGCCTGTTTCAAAATTGAATTCTAATATTAATAATAATATCGACTTGAATTAGTTTAAAACTAGTCGAAAAATAGTGAACAAAAAAAAGTTTTCAGAGAAAAAATAAAATTTTAAGAGCAAAAAAGAAAAAAATTTAACCCCAACAAAAAAAAAAGTTTTCATAGAAAGAAGAAAAATTCTTTGAGAAAAAAAACAAAAAATTTTACCTCAACAAAAAAAAAGTTTTCAGAGATAAAAAATGAAATTTTAAGAGCAAAAAAGAAAAAAATTTAACCCCAACAAAAAAAAATGTTTTCAGAGAAAATAAGAAAAGTTTTAATACAAAAAAAGGAAAAAATTTTACCCCAACAAAAACAAAGTTTTCAGAGAATAAAAAAAAAATTTTAAGACAGAAAAAGAAAAATATTTTACCCCAACAAAAAAAAGTTTTCAGAGAAAGAAAAAAATTATAAGAGAAAAGAAGATAAAAATTTTACCCGAACAAAAAAAAGTTTTCAGGGAAAAAAAAATATTTTAAGAGCAAAAAAGAAAAATATTTTACCCCAACGAAAAAAAAAATTTTCAGAGAAAGAAAAAAAATTTTTTGAGAAAAAAATAAGAAAATTTTACCTCTAACAAAAAATAGTTTTCAGAGAAAAAAAATCAAATTTTAAGAGCAAAAAAGAAAAAATTTTAGCCCAACAAAAAAATGATTTCAGAGAAAATAAGAAAAATTTTAAGACAAAAAAAGGAAAAAATTTTACCCTATCAAAAATTAAGTTTTCAGAGAAAATAAAAAATATGAAAAAAAGAAATAAATTGTACCCGAACAAAAAAAAAAAATTTCAGAGAAAAAAAAATTTTCAGAGAAAAAAAGCAAAAAATTTTACTTTAACAAAAAAAAAGTTTTCATGGAAAGAAGAAAAATTTTGTGAGAAAAAAAAAAAATTTTACCGCAACAAAAAAAAAGTTTTCAGAGAATAAAAAAAAAATTTTAAGACAGAAAAAGAAAAATATTTTTCTGCCCTCCGGCCAGAAAGTGGTAACTTTCTGGCCGCTGCGCTAAACAAAGTTGCCTCATTCCGGCTACGTCGAGCAGAAAAATAGTATACACACCTTGGCCAGTAAAAAGTAATGCCTCGGATCACATCTTTGTCAACCTCGGCTTTGCTTCGGCCAACAATTACATGTGATCTGAGACTTTTCTTATTTTACTGGCCTAGGTATGTGATATACTATTACCCCAACGAAAAAATGATTTCAGAGAAAATAAGAAAAATTTTAAAACAAAAAATGATAAAATATTACCCTAACAAAAAAAACGTTTTCAGCGAAAAAAAAATTTTTTTTAAAAAGAAAAAATTTTACCCCAACAGAAAAAAGTTTTCAGAGAAAAAAAAAATTTTAGGACTGGTCTAGATAACTTGTATATGACTTCCTAGAGACGACTATGACGTTAGCTTCCATAAATTACAAAGTTTTATTTCTGAACGATTCACGAGGATATCGGTCGATTTTGGAACCTTGTCCTTATGGGTTTCTAAGGTTCCGGATTAGTCTAGATAACTTTCATTCCGGCTACGTCGAGCAGAAAAATAGTATACACACCTTGGCCAGTAAAAAGTAATGCCTCGGATCACATCTTTGTCAACCTCGGCTTTGCTTCGGCCAACAATTACATGTGATCTGAGACTTTTCTTATTTTACTGGCCTAGGTATGTGATATACTATTACCCCAACGAAAAAATGATTTCAGAGAAAATAAGAAAAATTTTAAAACAAAAAAATGATAAAATATTACCCTAACAAAAAAAAAGTTTTCAGCGAAAAAAAAAAATTTTTTTTTAAAAAAAGAAAAAAATTTTACCCCAACAGAAAAAAAGTTTTCAGAGAAAAAAAAAAATTTTGGACTGGTCTAGATAACTTGTATATGACTTCCTAGAGACGACTATGACGTTAGCTTCCATAAATTACAAAGTTTTATTTCTGAACGATTCACGAGGATATCGGTCGATTTTGGAACCTTGTCCTTATGGGTTTCTAAGGTTCCGGATTAGTCTAGATAACTTGTATATGACGTTCTGAAGACGACTATGACCTTAGTTTTCATAAATTACGAAGTTTCATTTTTTAACGTTTCACGGAGAAAACGGTTGTTTTTGTAACTTTGTCCCTATGGGTTTCTAAGATTACGGACTAGTCTAGATATTTTGTATATGACTTCCTAAAGTCGACTGACATTAGCTTTCATAAATTACAAAG